TTGGAGGTTGTGCATGGTACTGTACTGTACTTTACAGTCCCCGGGGTGTGTATGCAGTGTAGTCTACTGAGAAGGAATGCTTGACCGTTCTTGATTTCCTACCATTGCCATTACCCTCTTGCTGGGCCCTTGGAATTGGGAATCTCTGCACGCAGCTGCGTGCTGCTCTCTGTACTGTACACTACACTACACTACATTTACCTCTCCTAAATGGCAATGGCAATGGCGATGGCAATGGCAACAGCTTGCAGGTTGCAACTGGGCCTGGCGGGTTCTCTCTTTTGGTCGCCGGAGGGACACCTCGTAAAAGACACAGTCCCGATTACTTGTTGTGCACCCTCTGGATGGAATTTTGTTTGTATTATTGTGTGACCCAATTAATCCTTCGCTGATCCAGGAGTCTCGACTTTGTCTTGGTATACTATCAAAAAGAAAAAGAGAAAAAAAAGCAGAATTCCGCCCATCAAGCCAGCTTCATGGAAGACATATGAAGAATCGAATCGCAAATGCAACAAAAGGTTCAGACAGCCGCCCAGAGACAATAAAAATTGAACACAGTATTAGGCATAATAAAAAATGGATAAGGTCGAAAGGTACAATATATGCATGAGGTGAATAAAGCGTCTTCCGTCTGGTCTCTCTTCTTTCTCTTTCTTTCTTTCTTTTGTCTTTCTGGCCTTGGCCGTTCGAGTTGCAACACCTAAAGGTATGATCATCAGGCGGGCACAATAACCGGTTTCATTTCCTTCGTCAACGTTCGTATGTATCATCAATTGTCGTTAGTCTTTCATATGATCATTCAAGATTCTGACATGCACTAAACACTCGCCGTGCGGCGTTTCTCGCTAGGTTTCTGAGCGTATGCAATCCACAAGCGAAAGCCCGTGCCGCGCTGTTGACACTCACGGATCACCTTCCGGTCCGACCAGATGCTGAGAGCTATATCGCCATTCGGGAGGATGGGGATCTCGTAGCATCGCGTGTACCACCACCTGCCTACCTTGGCGACTATCTTGCGGATCGATTCATCGTTTGTGGGTGATGGGGATGGATCAGATAGAAGGTCACCCAGAGATAGGTCGGTGTCATTGGAAGATGACTTCCCATGAAGCTTTTGGTAAACAGTCGCAGAAGTCTCTGTGAAGGGCGAAATACTGCCTGAAGGGCCAGTTGTTGCAGCAAGCACAAATGGGTCCGAGGATGACGTGGAGGTGGATGATGCTGACGATCTCACTATCATTCCTGCAACGGGAATTCGAACCATACATCGGCGGAGATTATCGAACCCATACTTTCCAAGCAGCTTCTGTATGCTATCGCTCGTGGGCTTCAGGCTGATATTCGGGTCGGACACATATGTCCTTTCCTTCAATTTCCTCAAAGCTCTCCGTGTACGGTTGCCCATGTTTACCATATCACGGTCAAGGATGCTCATCTCCAGGTAGCCTCCCGCGCGCAGAACACGCTTGCATTCAGACACAAGTCTGGCTTGCGTGTTCTCCGCACAAGCTGCAGGGAAGCGCAGAACAGCAACAGTAAAATATCCCTTGGGGAAAGGCAATCTGTCGTTGAGGGTCGACTGGTAGAACGTGTGGTAATTAGATGGTGGCTGCCATGCTGCCGGGTGCTTGAACGTAGCGGTATTGACTCCCTCATTGAGACTATAGACACTGGCTGTGGGATACGTCAGGGCACAGTAGAAGGACCAGTCGTCGTTTCCCAGTCCATCCACAACCAAAATTCTTTCTTGATCTCCGCTTTGGGCACGGCCATGTCCGGGACTAAAGAGAACCCTCCCGAATGATAGCCAGCGGCTGGTCATGAGCGAGCCGGACCTGATGTTCGTGAGAGCAGTTGGCCCTTCACGATCACGTTCCGCTATGTCGAATAAGGCAGTGTTGCGCTGACGGCATTCTTCGAAACTGGGAGATGCAACTAATGCTGTGGAGCCAAGCAGGCCTGACGGGTGCTCCGCAAGGGGCAATGGCATCACGCTGTCGGGTTCTTGCTCGGTCAATTCCTTATTTTCATCGCGGTTGTCACAATAACAAGCGATTATGCTACTGAAGGAAGGCTGGGAGGACGGGGCAATAGACGTGCGAGATTCGGCAGGAACATTGGACCTGCGGAGTCGGACAGAGCCATTAGTCGACACTGGAGAGGAAGGCGTAAGCTCGACTTTTGGCCCATCAACCGGACCAGCCGGGGGCTTAACCTGGTCACTAGTCAGCTCCGCTTGGAGCGTTTTGCTAGCCATTGTCGCCATCTCGAGGTTCCGATCCGACTCTGAGCCAATTGAGAACAACGTACTTGTTGTCTGGGGCGACAGAACATGATCAATGAGGTCATCGTACTCCCCCCATACTTCATCTTCCGTCAAATCTGCCCCGGGGCTTGGAACCACGGCTGTGATTGCAGCAAGGCTCTCGGAGCCACTTGAAGTAGATACTACCGATTCCTTCCTGGGTGAAAACGTCATAAACTCATCCTTTGCATAAGGACCAGCAATGAAGTCTAGGACACTGAATTGAAAAAGGTCGGCAAATGGGTTCGCTAGGTCAAACCCGTCAACAGACTGCTTCTGCGGGGATTCGAGCTGTTGCACTGTGGGTGGTTGTGAGATGGAGGGGGGGAATTCGTTAGGCCTCGGGCCAACTGGAGCGAGTAATGAAGGAGAGTCCGCCACGCTAAATGGTCTCGAGAATGACTGCAGAGCCGGCTTGTGCGGTCGCTCCCTTCTCGAAACAACTCGGGGGATGCGACCGATCGATGTTAGGCGACTGGTATGTTTAACTTCCACTTGATCGTCCAATCTACCTTCGGGGCTCCGAGGAGCAAAGCTGTTGTCAAAATAGACCTTTGGAGACTCGGCTTGATCTCGAAACAAATTGTCGTGTAGCTTCGGTGGTGAAGGTAGTAAGATGGAATCGGTAGCGTCTCGTATATTCAAAGCAGCTGGCACTTCAACTGGGGAGGCAATCTCTGTCTCTTCGTCCTCGGTCGGAGGTGAGTTCTCAACACGATGGACTATCTCTTCAAGTGGGTCCGAGTCATCGTCCAGCAGCGCATAGTACGGAAGAGGCCTACGGGCAGCTACGGGAGATACCGTAGCATGAAGCTTTGGGCCAGAAGGGGCGTCAATGTCGACAGGTGATCGAACTGTGTCCGGTTTTCTGTGAAATATATTCCATTTGAGCCCAAGGCCTCTCTTAGATGGCTTTTTCTGTGGGCTCTGTGCCTCAAGAGCTCTGGGCTGTCTATCATCGTCGGGCACTTGAGGTTTCTGATATTGCCGACTGACCTGAGCAAGCACCTGCGGTTTGACAACTCTCGTCTGCTCTGGTTGGGTGACGGACATATCCGCAGGCTCGGAAAATGCTAATATGCTCGAAGTCTTTTGCCCTTCCGAGCCTCTCCAGACTGATTCGCTCAGTGTCACCGAAGTCGCCCTAGATGATAGCAATGTCTCCGTGGAGCCGCTTGCAGATGGAGAAACCTTGGACGGTTGTGTCAGAATTGAGTTTGTGCCTGTACTGAAATCACTTGTGCTCTGTCCGCTCTGCCTTCTCAAAGCAGCAGTGCCATCCATACCACCGCCTTGGATGATCACAGGTTGAAGACGCTCCAGTAGAAAGTCATCAAGCTCGAACTCCGGACGGCCTTTTCCAGGAATGCCTTTGCTGCTGGAAACAGGCTTTGGTCCACTTCTTACTGAGCTTGACGATCGTGCTCGACTGGTCGTACTACTAGTCGTGCTCATCTTGCGGCCTCGCTGCGAGTACCTGCCGTAGCCTTCGTGGCCTGTTCCAGCAGCTGGTCCTTTGCGAAAAGATCTACCTTCGTTATCCTTTTCTATCTCTGGTTTAGATCGTCTAGAGAACAGACCAAGGGTGCGGGTTTTGCCTGGACTGACAACTTCGTGCTGAGCGTTAGGACCCTTGGTCAGGATTCGGGGGCTTTTCCATAGGAGTTCGGGCGACGTGGGGATGCGTGAGGTGGTTCCTTGCGCAGATAAAGTAGAATACAGAGAATCCACAGACGTGGCTGCAGACAAGTTTGAATGTGTCGCTCCCTCGGGTACTGCATTCCGATCGCCTGAAATCCGACATCTATGTCCTGTCAAAGCTGTAGGCATTATGTTGCTCTGAATGATCGGTGAGGGCTCCAGCACCAACTGATGGGTCCCTTCTCTGCTGGGTCGTGTGGGAATATGGACAGAAATCTTCATCCCGTCCGCTCTCTCCTCACGAAAAACAGATTTTGGTTTCTGTGCTGCTCCAGAGTCCGGCTGCATATCGTGGCTTGGCTGCTTCTCACTGAAGAGGATCGGTTTTGTCCAAGTGGGTAACTTTCGTGGCAGGCTACTTCCAGCCACGTTCGGCGCATTAACCATTCTCGTCCCAGACTCTTCATGGTAGCTATCACCATGTAAATCGCCCCGGCTTGCTCTGGGGCGTGGTTCCGATTCATCTATAGCGCTTCGTGCAGGCTTTCCTGCGGATGAGCTCGGCTGGTGTTGCTGGGGAGAGAAGACAGGGAGCCTGCTTTGAGTTGGACTTGGCTGTCTTATACGAGGACCCTTAGGAGGGATCGAGATCCCTGGTGAGTACGAAGACAAGGTAGTAGGTGTGGATGTCCTACTCCACATGCCGGGAGACTCAGAGTATCTCGTCGATGGGCTGCTGGCAGAAGGGATGATTGGGGTTGGGGGTGGGAGGTTCTGTGTGTTGATCGTGGTGGTCCTAAGACTGGCGAACTCCTTTGGGACATCGTGAGCTGTGATATTCGATACGCTGCTCAAAGAAATCTCCGGCGAGGTCATTGGTGATGAAAGTTGTCCGATCAGACTAGCATTACCTGGCGGGGACCGAGATAATGTAGTCGCTGGACGACCAATGGAAGATTGCTCTGGAATTATAACATTCAACTTCTGAGACCTGATTCTATCCGGCATGGGCTTAATTTGTGCACTATGCTGGCCAATTGTGGGCGCTCTCCTTCGCAGAACATTCCGCAGTCGACCTTGACTTGGGGTCTGTGGTTCAGTTCCGGAGTGACTCAGGGGTCCAGCAGCCATGTGGGATGCCAATGATACACGACGATCTGCCTTCGGGTCCGGGGTCGAATGCGGCGAAGATGAGTGGATCGTCCCTTGAGAGGATGAGGGCGGACGAGCCATGAGGCCAGTCGGAATTCTCGACGTCTTCGAGGATGCAGAGGCATGGCGACTATCTTCTGCATCGGATAGAGATGGTGTTCTGCTATTCCTGGATGGTCCATTGTTCGGCCTTGGTATCCGGGGACGGTGCAATAATTGGGCAGCAGAGTTCGAGGAACGCGCTGAAGCCATCCCGGTCGACGATACATTTCGGGGTTTAGAAGCGACATCCTTCAGCCGGGGTATTCGGCCACCGTCAGACTTGTGCGACGACATCGTATGACCAAGATCCAGTCGCCAGCTTCAGTCCGAGGACTACTAATCTAGCGATGGTATGGAAATGGACAAGGCTTGAACTCATTCCGTCTGGTTCCTGATTATCGGGATTGGAGTGAAATCTGCAGGCCAAATGCGATGTAAGCTTCTATACGCTCCGGGCCTGAGTCAGAGGACTGATCGATCACTTACACTGGTAGCTGGTAGCATCGTGTTCTGCGGGGGATATTGAATGACAGGAGCGCTTCTATATGGAGAAAGTTGAAGACTTCACAATATTGCCGCGTGGCGGGGTATTTTTAAGACACAATGAAGCGGTCAAGCACAGAACGATGTACTATACAAGGGTTTAAAAGCACCATAAAGAACCGCGTTCTTGAATTAGCAGGCACCTGAAAAACGAAAAAAAAAAAATGGCCGTCCAGATAATATGATTGCACTTGAGCGAAGACGACAGAAAATATCCAATTGATCGCGGGTATACTTGAGCCGGCGGACAGATGCACTCACTGCGCCACAGCCCGGAGACGTCGCCGGTGGCTAAATGCAGGCAGGAAGAAAAGAAAGTGGTTGAGCTGGGTCTGCACGACCACGTCAGAGAACGTGCTGCGGCAGTCTGCAAATCAGAGAGTCCGCTCAAAAGGAAACTCTCGAAGGCCAGCTGAGAGAGAAGTAAAGGATAGAAAGTGAAGTGAGGAGGAGTAAGAGGGCGAAGGAAGGTCATGGATCAGGTTGTATTAATCAGTGACCATGAGATCTGGACCTGGGCGACAGTCTATGAGCGTCCATAATTGAGTTCAACCCCATTGTGGACCGTCGAGCGCCGCGGGAAAGCAGGATATCCATTTGCAAGTCAATAAATCCCTATAACTAAAGGGTCAACTATCACAGAGGAATCCTGGCGTCGTTTGTGCGATCGACATCGGCGCCGGATTCGAGCCCTGATGTGACCGGGACGATCATTGGCGCAGGAAATACTCTGTCGCCTTGTCGCATAGCATATCAGTACGATTATCATATACCTCCCGTCATCGCCAGTGCATCTTGGAATGGTTATCGTTGGGGGCAAATTGAGCCTAGAGGATCCTCATCTTGGTCAAGGGCACGAGCGTTTTGGACTCCACAGATATTACCGCTGAAGTCGAATTGCGAGAGGCATAACGAGCCAGATCCACCCGCGTTTGTTACCTTCGTTATAAGTGGTGAAGACTACCGCAGCACAGGCCTGAGGACTGTTCAACGGTAAGGGCTGACAGGTCTCTATGGAGTCGAGTGGCGTGGGATAGTGGAATAGTGGACAGTCCGTCGTCCTGAAATCTGACCACTTGCGATGGCCCAACATGCAAATGGCAGGTGCAGGCATCATTGAATGGGATCTATTCATTAAAGGAAGAATTGCCGCAGCTAGATCTGGTCTGTGTGTCAATCATCATCGACTCTGATTTGACGCCTGTCGGACATTTTCCTTCGTTCTATCGGGGATTCGGGGGAGGGGGGAGGGAGAGAGGGGAGAGAGGGGAGAGAATGGCGAGATTGGCGATAACTGAAAGAGGGGGTGGGTTCTTTTT